GTTTAGCACACCGCTCAACTTTCGATGGTCCCGGTTCGATTCCTCGCACGGTGCAAACATTTGTATTCATGAGGTGTTTATTGTGTATATTATGTACATACACATAGTATATACCAGCTGCAGCCACGACTTCGTCTGCGTGGAACTTATTATTACTTATTTTTCTAAAATAAAAGTAGCCTAGGTTACTCCTTATTACATCAGCTCCCAGCCAATAAAAGTCCCGTAAAAATCGGTCCAGCCATTTCTGAGATTAGCTGGAACAAACAGACAGACAGACAAAAATGGTAAAAAATGTTATTTTGGTGTATATACCGTATTTATATTCATATGCATGTAGTAAAAAACAGTTATTTCAATATTACAAACAGATACTCCAATTTTATTTATATGTGTAGATATACACAGTCTATTTATAGGAATAAAGTACATTCCATTTTGAGCAATTCGATATATCGAAAAGTGCAACAATAAATTCTCAGTAATGAGTCTGGCAATTCAGCGGTAATGTAGTGAGCGAATTCGAGTATAGTATTCAATTTAATTCACACTCGCTATGAACGGTTTCAGAGCAAACGAACGAGATAGAAATGTATACAAATTATTCTATTTCTGACTGTAATGTTCTGATGCACTTACATTTATCCCTATGGATACGTCAAGTTAGATCCATGTTTTTGTTTAAAGGATGATAATGGAATGGTGCACCCGCCTGCGCTAGCGGTTTACGCTGGCGGGGCACGAGTGGAGGATGATAAGATGAACATGAAGTCAGATCAGTTAGCACAACGTGACAAATTCGCCGGGAATGTATCACGATGGTTTCCAGGGGGAACCGCGTGGAGGTCGACCTGACATGGTACATTGCTGGCTATGGGGTCATTAGTCCACATTACTAACAATCCCCATCCCCTAGTTAGAGCCATGTTATAACTTTATACATTCATCTTATATATACTCATTTATTTTGATACTCAAGTAATACCAATTATATATGACGGCCTCGATGGTCTAGCGGTTTAGCACACCGCTTTACGTCCGGTGGTCGCGGGTTCGATTCCTCGCACGGTAAACATTTGTATTCATGAATATTATTGTTTGTCTCGGTCTGGGTGTTTTCTATGTATAATATATATGTATTTACGAAAAAAATTATTTATGTATTTGTATCAGTTATCTAGTATCCATAACAAAAGCTTTAGCTTAACCCAAGTTAAGACTAGATGGCGCTGTGTGAAGTGTCCTGAGCGTATTATTATTATACGCACGTGACGTAGCTATATAGCGTGCGCTGAGAATTATTGACAGTAAAGTAAATTTGACATAGTTTTATAAAAGATAGAAAGAAGAAGAAAGATATATACAATATCTGTAAAAAAATCTGTTAATTAAAAAAAAACCAATTAAAAAGTCACCATATCGATATAAATTTAACCCTGTGTTCTAGAACAATTTATATTTCTACAAATGTGATTTTATAACAAAAACACAGTCCTACAAAAAAAAGGTAAACAAGATATAATATAATAGATAAGTAAGGCATAAAAAACAAACCGATACGATATTGAAATCTTTAAGAAAAGAGCTTATTCCATCTTAAAAGGCCGACAACGTACTTGCAATTCCCCTGGTGTTGCGGGTGCTCATGGGCGGCGGTAATCACTTACCATCAGGTGAGCCGCATGCTCATTTATCCCCTACGCTATAAAACAATAATATAGTACAATTATACATTAGGTTTTGAAGTTGGTTTAATATGAACATACACATATCTGTCTAATGTGGACCACGAGAGTGTTAATATTAAACGTTATTACTAGGCAGAACAATACGGCTAGGCCACACCTGTTTCTGAGAAACCTAATAACGCGGAACAGTGCGCCCTACTTCGGTTAATAACGTTGTAGATACATATCACATATCTGTTTATACACAGATATACAAACACACGTTTTATGTACTTATTACACTATATTATGCCTTTGAAGAACATATCCTAAAGTGGAAACTAGCAATGATTAATGTACAGAAGAAATTGTAGAAGAAACTAAGTAGAAGATATGTATATATATACAAATAAGTAAAATCGCTGTGCTTGTTTGTAAATTCAAATTAACAGCTTTTCATTAATTGCCTATGAGAGTATATATGAAACATCCATAAAGAAATAATTTAAAATAAAATTATCTGTATGTGTGTTTGTTCTTTCTAATCTCTGAAACGGCTAGACCGATTTTAATGGAGCGCTCTAATGAGACAATAAAGAGTTTTATCGTTTGTGTCGTTATCAATTGTAATAAAAGTAGTAGTAGTAGGTAAAGCTCGAGTCTTACGCCTCAATTAAACAGTTTTTATTATTTACTTGTGTTTACATCACTGAAGAGTCAGTAAAATAAATTGTCATTTCAATATTTTATTAATATTTTTTTGTCTAGCCCAGATTTGAACCCACGACCGAATTCGAGGTAGTAAACTAATAATTAAGCCACTATGCTGTCTAATAATAAAACTAAACTATTGATTACCAATTGTGATATGACGTCACGTCACGTGACTGAGGCTGAGTGGTCAATCTGCACGTGCGAGAGGACGGAAGACGTAACTTTATGTAATAGACTATTTGAAACCCAGCGACTACACGTGATCTAGTACTTGATTACGAGGTCAAGAATACATCGCTACTGTGTCAAAACACTCATATTGATACACTAGCTGTTTTGATTGCACAAACATAATCCCCAGTAGAAATAGAAATAGAAATAATCTTTATTCAAATAAACTTAATATAAGCACTTTTGAATAGTCACATTTTTTTTGTTCTACCACTCATTCGGAACGCAGACGCACAAGAAGAATGAGCAAGAAACTTGTGTGTTGTTGTGCTCTTTTAAATAAATGTTGTTTTACATTAACAAGGATTAGGCCTGCGACAATCAACATAGAAACCGCTACGCAACAGATAACATTGTCAGCGCTATGAATTTTAAGTTAGATATTTTCTACAAAAACATTATTATCATTTGTAAATTTTTCAATTTTATAATAAGTATTTTTGCAAAAGAAATGTTTTATAAAACATTTGAATCTTTTTTCTGGCAAATTGAGTACACACTCTAGCAGTTTTAAAACCCATAAGCAATTTCTATAAAACAAATTACTAACTTTCTAATGTAATCTTACTAATCATATTTTGAGAAAAATGTTACATATTAATGTGGACGGTTACAAGAGCAGAGGAAGGCAGAAAAAGAGAAGGACTGTGTGGAAATATGAGTAAGAAAGAGAGTAAATAACGAAATGACTGTGAACAGAGATGAATGGAAGAGAAAAACATTGCACCGACCTCAAATAAATGGGATAAAGAATTAATATAATATTAATATATTAAAAAAAGTACATATGTATCAGTTATCTAGTAACCATAACATAAGCTCTGCTTAGCTAGAGACTAGATGGCGCTCTATGAATTGTCCTGAAATATAATAATTCCAGGTGACAGGGGACGAGGTCGACCGTAGTCTATCTATATCTTTTGTTTCAAAAGATAATTGTTTGTAAACTGAATAACGTTTTCCCCTGGCTTTCTAGAGAGATACGAGTGTCGACACTAGTCTGCACAGGGAACAATGTTGAACATTTATGACATGCAAGTGAATGTAATTGGATTGTGCCAGTAGTCTCGATGGGGCAACGTGTTATTTATAACAACTGCATTAGACTCGAGCACAGTCTCCATGTTATACAAAATTAACATTTCAATGGGTAAGAATTAGTGAATTAATAAAATAATATAATACCGTATAACTGCTTTATTTACTCTTTTGTTATTTAGTTACTCAACCGGTTGTAAATTTAATATTTTCTCTATTTGAGTATTTATTTGAATTAACGCTAGTTGGAAGTTTCTAGTCACAAAATTCAACTAAAAAATGTACAGCATCAACACGCATATTCTTGCTCATTCTATATATTTCGAGTATTTTTTGAATTTTTGTGCAAATAACAAAAATACAAAAAATCGTCTGAAACAAGAGAAAAAGATAATTTATAATAAGTTTAAAAAGGAAGCAAAAAAAGTAGTAGCAATATCCAGAACAAGGGCATTAGATAGAATATACAAGTCACTTGATGACCACAGTGGTCAAAAAGAACTATACAGGATCACAAAAATGAGAGAAGAAAGAGCGAAAGATATGAAGCATGTGAAATGTATAAAAGATGATACAGGCCAAATTTTGTTAAAAGACGACGACATAAAAACACGTTGGAAGGTATATTTTGAAAAACTTATGAATGAAGAGAATCTGTGGGATGAGCCTACAAAAGATGTCTCGGTAAACATCGGTGTAGTAAATGAGATTGGTATGGATGAAGTAAGGAAAGCAGTGAAAAGTATGAAGAATGGGAAAGCTGTTGGGCCAGATGGCATACCAGCAGAAGTCTGGAAATTATTAGGAGAAGATGGATGCAAGTGGTTAGCTTCATTCTTTAATAAATTATTGCAGGAAGTGGCGATCCCTAAGGAATGGTGCAATAGTTCACTAGTGCCCATTTTTAAGAATAAGGGTGATGTACAGGATTGTAATAATTATCGAGGAATAAAGCTCATGTCTCACAGTATGAAAGTATGGGAGAAAGTGATAGAGAAGCGATTGCGTGATGAGACTAGTATCACCCAAAACCAGTTTGGATTTATGCCAGGCCGAAGTACCACAGATGCCATATTTGCACTGCGCCAGCTGTGTGAAAAATACAGACGTGCTCACAAGAACTTGCACATGGTGTTTGTGGACCTGGAAAAGGCGTACGATAAAGTACCCAGACCGGTTTTGTGGTGGGCCCTGAAAGATAGAGGAGTGCCAGTGAAGTATGTGGAGTTGATTCGTGCTATGTACAGTCAACCTCGTACATACGTTCGGTCGGCCGCGGGAAATACCAGCGAGTTCAGTGTGGCTGTAGGCTTGCATCATCGGCTTTAAGCCCGTCTCTTTTTGTTGATAATGGATGCCTTGACGTCGGAGATACAAGAAGAGGCACCCTGGTGCATGCTATTTGCAGATGACATTGTGCTCGTTGGTGAGGAGGGAGCTGAGATACAGAGTAGATTGGCGATATGGCAGCAAAAGCTGGAAAGTGGTGGCTTAAAGATAAGTAATTCCAAAACGGAATACATGTTTTGCGACTTTGGCGGTCTTTCTGGCTCTGCAGCCATATCACTAAATGGAGTTCCATTACCGATCTGCTCCGATTTCCGGTATTTAGGTTCACTCCTCCAAAGCAATGGCGAATTAGACCGAACCATAAAGCACAGGATTAACTCAGGTTGGATGAAGTGGCGGCAGGTTACGGCGACGACGTGCGACTCACGAGTTCCCCTTAAACTTAAGGGCAAAATTTACAAGACCATGATCCGGCCTGCCATTTTGTATGTATCAGAGTGCTGGCCCATAAAGGCGACGGATGAGAGACGACTGCATGCAACTGAAATGCGAATGTTGAGATGGATGTGTGGTGTGACGAGGATAGACAAGATAAAGAATGAATACATCAGAGGAAGTATAAAAGTGGCACCGATGTCAGAGAAGTTAAAGAGTAATCGTCTATCGTGGTATGGGCATGTAATGCGTAGGAATGAAGATCATATCCTAAGGACGGTGTTACATATGAATGTGGATGGTTATAAGGGTAGAGGAAGACCGAAAAAGAGATGGATGGACTGTGTGAAAGATGATATGGTGAGAAAGGGAGTAAATAACGGAATGGAAGAGAAATAAAAACAAAAAACATACTACGTCGACCCCAAATAAATGGGATAAGGAAGAAGCAGATGATGAACAAAAATACAAAAAATAAAAACAAATAAACACAACTGAGAGACAGCTCTCGACACCGCAAATTTTCCGTAACGTCACTCCCGTGGCAGCCACGAGAATGAGACTGCGGTTTACACTCATCGAGAGCCAGGGGAATGACAGCGTATCAAGTTGCACGAATGAAACTTGCCCTGCCCACGTCATTGTTAATTTACCGCAGTGAAAAAAGAACTGTATGTTTATATTTTGACGACCTCGATACTATATACGATCGAGACGTAGGTTGTTTATCACGTATTACGATAATTGCAAGTTCGATGTCCGTATAATACATTTTTATTAGTGTTGTGTAGCTCTCGAACGGAGGAGCGTTCCCAAAGATAAACTATGCGAACTAGTTCGCAGATCTGCTCTTTAGTTCATATCTGAATATAAATACGGTACATACACCAAAATAACATTTTTTACAATTTCTGTCTGCCTGTCTGTTTGTTCCGGCCAATCTCTGAAATGGCTGGACCGATTTTGACGGGAGTTTTATTGGCAGGTAGCTGATGTAATAAGGTACTCCTTATTACATCAGCTACCTGCCTAAGTTACTACTTAGGCTACATTTATTTTAGAAAAATAAAGTTAAATTCCACGCGAACGAAGTCGCGAGTACAGCTAGTTCAATATAATATAGGTCCATCTCATATTACGTTTTACACTGCTATTTTTTTTAATTCTTTATTTTATGACTTCGCAAGCCTCTAATATTGTGAGTCGTAAACTATTGATTTATTGCAAAACCAAAATAACAGGGAACTGTTATTATATAATTTTATCGGCATATTTTATTGTCCCACACATATGGGTTTTATGCTTTATCATAATTGTTAGTATTGGATTTCATTGGAGTGTTAGTTTAATAATTCTATTAATATTTACACTTGCGTAACTCAATTAATAGTTCCTACGCAATAAAATCAATAAGAATTATAAGTTATTCAGCACTAGCTGTGCCAGCGACGTCGTTCGCTGAAAGTATGAAAGATGAAAGATTATATGTAAGTAATGTAATTTTACATTACATTACTTACATATAATCTTTCATTTCCCCTTTCAACCCCCTAAAACCCTTTTTTCGCAATCAATCTGTGTACCAAATTTCATTTAAATCGGTTCAGTAGTTTCGGCGTGAAAGCGAGACAGACAGACAGACTTTACTTGCACATTTATATTAGTAAGGATAGCATAATACAGAGTAAATATATAAAAACTTTAAATGTAATATCTAATAAGCTTTGGATTCTTGACTGAATATTCGTTGTGTTAATATTAGGGGAATTCAATAAATACGATAAATCTATTAAGTAATAAATATCGTTATTTATTCCGGCATTTAGGCCTGAAAAGGTAAAGAACAGCATTTATAATCTAAATATATATAACTCAAAGGTGACTGACATAGTGATCTATCAACGCACAGCCCAAACCACTGGACGGATCGGGCTGAAATTTGGCATGCAGGTAGATGTTATGACGTATCCGCTAAGAAAGGATTTTGATTAATTCTACCCCAAGGGGATAAAATAGGAGATGAAATTTTGTATGAAACTTTGTCAATATTAAACCGATCGGGCTGAGACTTTACATGCATAAAGTTACTATGACGTAGGCATCCCCTAAGAAAGGATTTGTATAAATTCCACCCCTAAGGAGATAGATTAACGCGAGCGAAGCCGCAGACAAAAACTAGTATTAGTATAAATTACTATGTATGATACTGTGGGCGTATAGGCCTTGTAGTTGACTTTGCCGACTTAGAAACCAAGGTCAAGAGTTCTAATCTAACCGATGTATAAAAAAACTTTGTGTGTCAATTTACATTTTTTGCCGAATCTCCGCTGAAGGAATTACCGATAACAAAATAAAACAGTAATCACAAATCCTGTTTCAAAAATTCATAACTCATATATTTATATGAATATAAAGTAGAAAATTATATAGATACTAGCTGTGCCCGCGGTTTCACCGTTTCCGTGAAATTTATAGCCTACATGTTATTCTGATGAATAAGCTATATTGCTGTAAAGTTTCATCAAAATCCGTTCAGTAGTTTTTGCGTGAAAGAGTAACAAACATCCATCCATACTCACAAACTTACGCGTTTATAATATTAATAAAATATTTTTTGATGAATAAGCCATATTGCTGTAAAGTTTCATCAAAATCCGTTCAGTAGTTTTTGCGTGAAAGAGTAACAAACATCCATCCATACTCACAAACTTACGCGTTTATAATATTAATAAAATATTTATATTATATAGACAATTATATAATAATATGTGAAATTAATTTGTAGAATAAAACAATCAAAAAGTATTTTTATTATTTTTTTTTATTAATCAAACAGTAGTTATTAGTTAGTCAGTTAATTGTGTTTTTTCGTTACTTTTGTTAAGTTCTTCAAGTTACGAGAGCTCCACTTTCTTCCGTCGTTCTTTAAAAATCACCGTATTTGAAAAAAACGTTATCTTCTACCGAGCGTAGTATCAATGTCAGTTAATTTACTACTGAAACCAAAAATAAATAATTCATAGATATCTGATACTTGGAAGCCGATAATGAAATCCTTATCATTCTACGTAAATTTACGTCAAAAATATAACTCGCATATATTATGTGCGTGTGATATATTACACTAGACCAGATAAGATAAATTCTGAGTTATGATGACTGCAGTTGGTGAAAGATATTTTTATTCCTACTAGGAATTCCTCATTGCCTTGCCTTTATCCCATTTATTTGTGGTCGGCGCAGTATGTCTCTTCCACTGATCTCTATCGGTCGTCATATCTGAGCATTCTCTCCTTTTATTCATATCATCTTTCACACAATCCATCCATGTTTTTTTTAGGGCGTCCTCTCCCTTTACATCCAACCATGTTCAATCCTCGCTGTTCCGTATAACATGCCTACTAGGAATTACTAACATACTCATTACATAGTATAAAACAAATTCCCTGTCTGTCTGTCCCTATGTATGCTTAAATCTTTAAATCTATGCAACGCATTTTGGAGCTGCTTTTTTTTAATAGATAGAGTGATTCCAAATAAAGGTTTATATATATAACTAGCTTTTGCTCGCGGCTTCGCTCGCGTTAATTTATCCCCTTAGGGGTGGAATTTATCAAAATCCTTTATTAGGGGATGCCTACGTCATAGTAGCTTTATGCATGCAAAGTCTCAGCCAGATCGGTTTAAAATTGACAAAGTTTCATATAAACTTTCATCCCCTATTTTATCCCTTTGGGGTAGAATTAATCAAAATCCTTTCTTAGCGGATGCCTACGTCATAAAATCTACCTGCATGCCAAATTTCAGCCCGATCCGTCCATTGGTTTGGGCTGTGCGTTGATAGATCACTACGTCAGTCACCTTTGAGTCATATATATTTAGATACATGTACAACCGTGCGTAGCCGGGGCAAGTAGCTAATTTAATTATATAAAGAGAAATATAAATTATCTTTATTCTAATAAACTTAATATAAACTCTTTTGTTTTCTCTGTTCTGGTTACGGTCACTAGTTAGATTATTTCCTTTTGACAAAAATGCTGGTGATCACGATATTTACCCAAAGTGAATTTAAAAATGAATCTGTATTTTTGTAATCATGTACAAGCTCATGTGAAGGAATAAGAGCTAAGTTTCTTGTAAGTTCTTCTTAGATCAAAAGCACTCCGAACTGACGGTAGATTTGACATACCATAAGAGTCTGTAATAGACCTACATGAATAAAGATATTTAATATTTCAGTAATCATGTACAAGCTCATGTGAAGGAATAAGAGCTAAGTTTCTTGTAAGTTCTTCTTAGATCAAAAGCACTCCGAACTGACGGTAGATTTGACATACCATAAGAGTCTGTAATAGACCTACATGAATAAAGATATTTAATATTTCAGTAATCATGTACAAGCTCATGTGAAGGAATAAGAGCTAAGTTTCTTGTAAGTTCTTCTTAGATCAAAAGCACTCCGAACTGACGGTAGATTTGACATACCATAAGAGTCTGTAATAGACCTACATGAATAAAGATATTTAATATTTCAGTAATCATGTACAAGCTCATGTGAAGGAATAAGAGCTAAGTTTCTTGTAAGTTCTTCTTAGATCAAAAGCACTCCGAACTGACGGTAGATTTGACATACCATAAGAGTCTGTAATAGACCTACATGAATAAAGATATTTAATATTTCAGTAATCATGTACAAGCTCGTTTGAAAAGAATTAGAGCTGAGTATCTTGTCAGTTGTTCTTAACTTGAACGCACTACGAACTAATTAGATTTGACATATCATAAGAGTCTGTAGACCTACTAGAATAAATATATTTACTTTCTTTTATTTTTCTATACACACATAATTATTTTTTGTTCTACCGCTCATTCGGAAACTATACTCATCCCAAGAAGAACGAGCAAGAAACTTTCGTTTTGATCTTTTAAATAAATGTTGTTCAGCATTACATATTTAAGATTTT